TTTTTTTTTTTTTTTTTTTTTTTTTTTTTTTTTTTTTTTTTTTTTTTCGTTCTTTCAATGTTTTTGTTCATATTTTTTTCTTCTTTCTTTCTTTTACCAATTCCTTTGGGGGTATCAAGGTGAGGCTTCTGCTGTTACTGCCAGTGCACTTGAGCTTCTCCTCTGCTCCACAATGATACGTGCCATTTCCCGTAGAAACTGCTCCTTTTCAATTCCATACTTTTCCAACACTTTTTCTGCTGCCTTCTCATCTTTTAAAGGGAGTATTTCTTCACGAATGACATCTGCAAGTTTCTTCGCCTGTTGATCCAAAACAAAATTCTTCTGAATTTCCTTCTGACGCACTAAAATGTGTCGACGAATGCGTTCACCGTAGGTAGAGCGTAATTCAGGTCCAGAGCGCTTTAAAATAAAATTATCAAAGCCACCATCCTTCTCAATTTCAAACATGGCCGCCTCCACCATTGGGAGTTGTACCCAGTGGTTCAACACATCACTATAGTGAATACCTGTCTTCACATATGGATACTTCAGTTGACGGTAGACATTCTGTACCTCGCGTGAAGTCCGCACCCTCTCCCGCACTCGCTCATTTAACCAAATCACATCCATTTCTTGTGCAGGTTTAGGCAGAAAAGTACGTGGAGCGACTCCACTCATGCGGTAGATGGAGTAGCGGTTGACTTTATTACACCACGCAGCCCACGGTGGAAGTCCCATGGAAACATAACGGTTGATGAGACCACGCGGCGGGCCGTGCGGGGCGGTGGCGGTCTCGGGGTTCATCGCGAAGGTTGAAAAGAGACATCGGCCGGTTCCCCGCAGCATAGCTGCCACCACTACTACTAATAATAAATACTAATACCACTAATACTATTACTAGTACTACTAGTACTGCAATATCAATATAATAAGAAACAAGAAAGAAAAAAAGAAAGGAAAGGAACACATGAAACATATCAGGGGAAGAATCACATTTACATAGAGAGAGAAAGAGAGAGAGAGGAAAAGAGAAAGTATACTGGTAAAGTTATTATAAAAATTTAGCAAGAATCTTGATCTTAATTATATTCCCCATCAATATCATAAGAAGTAAATATATAAAAGTGTTTTTCTCAGATTTTTTTTATTTTTTTGTTTAAAACCAAAAATAAAAATAAAAAAAACAAAAACAAAAAACAAAAAAAACCATTGCTCTGTACCTTTCATTACCCGAACACAACTACAACTAACATCTGTTTAATAAACGAAAAAAAAAAAAAAAATAGACAAAAAACAAAAAAAAAATAATAACTGCATATGCATCTAAGAATAATTAAAACTGAGGTGGGTCTCTCATCCTTCTCCATTCTCCCAAACTAAGAAGGATGACATCATCGCTTCATTAGTGGAAGTTATTTTGTGAGAAAAGCAAAAAAAAAAGTGGTGATAAATATATAAATAAACATAAGTTTATTGTAGAACAACATGGGTAGATGCCACATGTAGTGGAAATGGTGCATAACCGTAAATATTTCCATTAGGAAGTGATAATGGCACCATAACAACATTATTCACGGGAGCAAATGCCTGATATGTTATCCCATCAAGAACCTTCTGTTGATGTTGTTCTACCTGTTCCACTTGTTCTTGTTGATAATGATTGTGCTGCTGTTGTGGCTGTTTTTCCTCCTGTTGTACTGTTGTTATTGTTTTTGACATTGTCATTGTCATTGCAGGTCCTTTTAAAAGAGTTTTCGTTTTCTTCGTAGGTGTACAGTAATTATTCCCAGATGACGGTAGTGCCCCAAACATTTCACGCTTCACAAACCTTGATTTCTGTTCTTGATTTTCATCAGACAACTTTAGTTGTTCCAATTCCTCTACACAACGATTCATTATACCTAGAGAAGGTGTAGGTAACGTTTTCACCGAAGGGAGATCATATCGACGTTCCTGTAGTGGTTTTGAATGATGATAAAGACAACGTGAACCAAAGTTACATGTTCCATTTTGTCGAAACTGTTTGCATATCTTTTTATTAGATTCTGTATTGGGTTCAATAGGTGCTGGACTTGGACAATCATCATTTCCCCAAATGTGTCTTTTAGATGGTGATAAGGTTTCAGAGTTTGTTGGCAACATCTCCGTCATTCGACGTCCTTCTTCACATAAACTTTGATTGACTTCCAACAAACGTCCGACGTATGTTTGCATCTCATCTAAACTATGTTCTGCGTGCTGCATATCCACCACCTGAGAGACTTCCCACTGTGAGAGACCTGTAAACTCGACAAGGGCACGAATAGCCATTTCAGTCGTAAATAAATTATTGTGATGTGGAAAAGATGCAGATAGGAATGTCTCAAAGTCAATAACAGTAATCGAACTGTCCATGAACAAAGAGAATAGAATACAATATATATATATATATATATATATATATATATATATATATATTGTGTATGTATAGGAAAAAGTGAATGTGAATAAATCTAATCTTAACTTTCCTACCCTCTGTAGTGCAAGTCAAACTCTTTTTTTCTTTTTTTCTCTTTCGTCTAATTAAAGTAAGAAAAAACGCAAGAACACTAGTAATGAAAGCAAAAAAAAAAAAAAGAAAGAAAACAATATATAATATACATGTAGAAGAGAGATATTATTACTTTACTCAAAATGTTTTATCCATACCAATATCATCAACTCCACCCTCACTATTAAAACAGCAAAATATACACAAACACACTTCTTAAATATTTTCTTCCCTCCCACTCTTATTAGAGAATCGTCCATTCATACACCACTAGAAGAGAAGAAAAGAGTAGTTAACCATCAAGCAACTGGGAGTATGAGTACCCCTCTACTCCGCACACATAACACCACAACACCACCAGACTATATATACCGGGAATACTAAGTATACACCCGACTGTGAATAAGGCAATCCCTCGTGAAGTGTCCACTACAAACAACCAGAGAGCAGCTCCTAGTAGAATAAGTGTTAGTCCCACACCAGAAAGAAAAAAACCCAACACAAAGGTTCTCCATCCACTCCAGTAAATGTCACCAATACGTCTTCGTGCCCTTGCAGGGTTATGGGGATCTAGCCAGCGGAAAAGTGGTAATTCATGAGTACACTGATCTTTCTTTTTTTCATCATTCTCTTTATTACACGTCTCTTCAAGAGGAATATTATTACGATACCTCATCCTAGATGGCCAAAAAAAAAAAAAAAAAACCGCAACAGTTAGAGTACCACCCTCGTCTAAATAAATAAAATACAGAAGAATAATAGCAAAAAAAAAGAAACCATATATGCATACATACGGCAGAAGAAGAACAAAAAAAAGAAAAAAAAAATAAAGAGATTATATGAGAGGTATAAATTAAACAAAAAAAAAAAAAACAAAAACCAAGAAAAGAAATATATATAAATGAATTTTTCTTTTTCTTTTCCTGGTTTGATAATATTTCACTTTTCATACACTACGTTGCATTCCAACGTCTAGAGATGATATATATATATATATATATAATATCACATTCTACAACACCGGGGAAGGTGGTGGAACAGCACCACCACTACTTTGAAAAAGCTGTGGGTAATCACGCCTAAGAGCATCCATGATATTGTCTACAGATGCCCTTACATCTCGGGCAGATCCCGCAGCACGTGATATCGATCTGGCAAACCTCAAATCATTGGCTGTAGCCATACAGGCGGCAACTGCAGCCACCACCTCCTGTTGCTGTGTGCGATAGCCCTGAAAAATAGTAGGGTATCTCTGCGTAAAAAACTGATCAAGTGTAAGTGTTGGGTTAAGTTGAACAGAAGTTTCATACTCTTCCTTTATACGACGTTGTTCCCTGAATGGTAAAAGAGCACGCATAAGCACAAAATGTGCTGCACTGGATATAGGAAGCTGCCACCAGGGAATATTTTGCATAATGTTAAAGGGCGAGTTTGTGTCTGAGAGTTGCATAAAAGCCATAAGAATAAACAGAGAGGTCATAAAGAACAAGAAACGAAAAAATTGTACAGATGATGATGTTGGTTGTGCACCACAATTACCAGAATAACAATTTCCTGATCCTTGTTGTCCATACTGAGGCATGGCTTCTTGTATTTTTTCTGAAAAGCGTTCACGTAATTGACGTTCACGCTCCAACTCTTCCTTGTCTTCTTGTTCCATGGATGTCTTGTTTGACTTTTCGCTTACGAAACGTGTTGCGCTAAAATTGCGTCGTGGCACAACAAGTGTCGCTAAAGGAACCAACGTTCTTTTTCCTAGAACTCTATTTAACATTTGCATTGTGTCTTGAACCCTTTTTTTTTTTGATTTTTTATTTATTTATTTATTTATTATCTCTTTTGTATACGACGCTCAAAAATCAATGAAAAGATGACAGTATTTCTTCTTTATATGTCAACAACATGGCAAGACAAGAAGAAAAAAAAAGAAAGAAGTCAAGAAATTCTTTTAATTATATCTTGGTAAAGCCATAATATCATATCATAACTCTCCACCACTGCTACCAATTGCAGAAAGCAGTGTTTCCAGAATAAATAAAGAGCAGAATAACACGAAACAAAACACATCTTCGTTAAAGAAACATACTCTTACGAAGAGAACTACACAATCACTGAAACGCAACTCCATCGACAAGGAGAATTATTCTTTCCTTTCTCTTTTCTCATCTCTCTCTCTCTCTCTCAACGTCCTTTTTTTTTTTCGTTTGTTTCTCCTCCTCCTCCTCCTCCCTGTGTTTTTTTTTTTTTTTTGCTCTGAATCAATAAAGCGCATACATGGATGTCATTTTCCGCACATGTATTCGTACCTTTACACGCTTATTGTCATACACTTCCCGTTCAATACCCAGCTCCTCTGCGCCAGGCAGATACAGCCAACACCAATTATGCCCTAATTCCTGAATACCTGTTCGCCGGTCCTTCTCTCGGAACTCTATGAGCCGCGGATCCACGCGGACCTTATACTGTTCCCACAACTTCTGCGCAATATCACGTTTACGCAGCGGGCAATTAAGAAGAAATCCTTGTCCCCATGACTGACGACCAAAGAGTAAATACCCTGTGTTCACACGCCAGTAGACATCTAACCACTGTCGTTTCCTGGCGGCGAAATCAAGAAAGTCTTCATTGCGCTCCACGAAACAATCATGTTGATTCGTATCCGGATTATAACACCACAGTCCACGCCGCAATTCTTCCGTGGGCGTTACGGCGTGTCCGTCGGCGATGTATTTGTTCGCCAAGTCGAGTTTGATGAGCCGCTCCTCGCCGGCGAATCCCCCCTGCGGGCCGAGAATCGTGCGGGTGAAGAGCAGCGGCACGTACTCGAGCTGCAACTCCGGCGCCATCGCACGCCACAGGCACGATAGGCGCAGCATTGACGTCCTACACCACTTCTTCTATCACACACACTCACAGAGAGAGAGAGATACAGATATACGAAGAAAGAGAGAAAGAAAGATAAGATAGAGGAGGAGGGGAGACAAGATAGTTTGAAGGCTGGATATCCGTGAAATAGGATAAACACAAGAACAATAAGAAAAAAAAAAAAACACTATTCGGCCGTCCCCACACTAATACCATTAGTAATAATACCCACTTTCTCTCACAAAGTGCATGTACTTTCATTTTGCTTCATTTTGTTTCTTGATTGCCCACCTTAGAGGACATGAGTAAAAATAAAAAAATAAAATAAAAAAAAATAATAAGAACAATATATCTAAAAAAAAAAAAAAGAGTTTAATACTGTGACTGAATCAAGCATCTCTAACTAAATCAAATTTTCGTTCAACCTTGCTCAAAAACTTGATTCATTAGGTTTGATTATGCTTCTTCATATCTGCCGATATCACTCACCACCACAACAACAACAATTCCCGCTACTTATTATCATTAAATGTTTTCTTTTTTTCTTTTTTTTTCTTTTCGTTTTCGTCTTTTCATGTGATTTCTTTGTTCTTTTTTTTCCCCTTTTTTATTCCACGGTAAAGTCACAAACACTGGCTTCCGTTGTAATCATCAAGCCAGCTACAGAGGAGGCATCGATTACGCAAGACGTCACAACCTTAACAGGATCAATAATACCAGCTTCAAACATATCCACATATTGATCGTTTTGGGCATCATATCCCATACAAGTATCTTCATATTCTGCAACATTCTCTACAGTAACAGCTCCTTCCTCACCAGCATTTTCACTAATTCGCTTCATTGGTAAACGCGCGGCATTACGTACAATAAGAATTCCTGTTCTCCGATCTTGCTCCATCTCATCATCACTTTGCAAAATCTTATCTAACTCCTTTGAGGCATGAAGAAGTGCCGCACCCCCACCTGCTACGATTCCATCAGAAAGAGCATTGCGAGAAGCATTCAGGGCATCAATCACACGATCCTTTGACTCACTGATTTCCACCGCTGAGCGACCACCAACGCGAATAACAGCAAATGTACGATTTAACTTTGACATACGTTCACGTAATTTCTCTTTTGCCTCTTCAGTCATGGCTCGATCTAAACGACCTTGTAAGAGACGTACACGTGGTGCAGTATCAGCGACTCCAGCTATGATCGTACTATCCATTGTCTGTTCCATGCGCTCTGCACGACCAAGAAGAGTATGAACATCATCTACAAGATTAATGGAGGAAACTTTTTCAACCACACAACTGCAACAAGAAGCGAGATCATGTAATTCTTCCTCTGATAATTCATGAGTACAAACTACACCACATAATACTACCTTATGAACATGGTTATGATAGATGGTTTGCATTACAGATTCTGAAAATTCTGGAGCTACAATAACAAGTGATCTACCACTTTTTTTAGCAGTTTCTAAGAGTCGTAAAATATCTCCTACAATCTCTAACTTTTGAGCTGTAATAAATACCAAAGGATTATCTAGTTGACACTTAAGTTCTGCAGTATCTGTAACAAGTGCACTGGAAATAAAACCTTGTTCAATACTCCAACCATCATATCGTTTCCACTCGGTTGCAGTGGTATTCCCATCCAATACAGATATGTAACCATTTACTCCAACTGCTTGTACAGCAGCTGCAATTAGTTTTCCCAATGGACGTTCACCATTAGCACTAATGGTTGCTACATTCTCTAACATTGCTAAATCTTTTACAGAACGTTTTTGTTTTTGAAGACTCTTGAGAATAACGGAAACAGCAATATCGATACCACGTTTGAGATCCATCGGATTAGCTCCTGTAGCCACACTTTTATAACCTTCTGCAAAAATACTCCAAGCTAAAATAGTAGCCGTAGTAGTACCATCTCCTGCAACATCATTTGTTTTACTAGCTACTTGTCTAATGAGACGTGCACCAACATCTTCAAATTGATCATTAAATTCAACAGATCGTGCCACTGTTACTCCATCTTTTGTGATTTTCGGTTCTCCTGATGGTTGTCTTATGATAACATTACGTCCCTTAGGACCAAGGGTGACACCCACAGCAGTGGCGATACGTTCAATACCATTAAGCATTCGCTCTCTTGCATCACCACCGAAAAGAATTGTTTTTCCATGACCTTTGGTAATGCATCTTGTATAGCGAAGCATGGCTTACTCACTTGAACTAGTAGGCTTTTTTTCTTTTTTTTTTTGATTCTGGCAAAAAGGGGGGGGAAAAAAATGAGGGAGCAAAAATAAACATATATATATATATCAGAAACAGTAATTTAAAAATAATGAAAATAAAGAAGCCCGCAAAAACGAGAGAGAGAGAGAGAGACAGAAAGAGAAAAAAAAAATAACGAAAATGGAGAAATATAGAAATGTGAAGATATAACTAACCTGTTGAGGTTGTACGTGTTTTTCTTTCCCCCTTTTTTCATTACAGTCTCCGCACGCTTTTCTTTCTTATTATTTTTTTTTTTTTCTCCCTCTCAAAAAGTAAGCAAAATAATAATAATAATAATAATAATAATAATAATAATAATAATATCAATATAAATTGATATTTATACATATATGGTTGAACTATCATACTTTCGTCTATAAAACTCTTTTTTTTTTTATTTTTTTGTTTAATCCACTCATTTGGATTCCAAATGACTGCCATAAATTATGTATGACCCAAACGTTTCAGAATAGCACGCTGACGTGAGAGATCAATCTGCAGTCGTGAGGCCACACCTGCAACAGCTACAGGATCCGTGTGTACCTGTACACGTCTGGCAGCTGTCTCGGCACGTATTTTGGCCTTCTCGGCGTTCTGCAGCTCAAGTTCATGACGGATACGTTCCTGTGCGGCACTCGCCTCTACTGCCCGAAGTTGTACCTCCTCAAAGCGACGGAGAAGATCACCCTTTTCCGCCTCAAAGGCTTCACGCTCTCTTCGTAAAGCTTCACGTTCTTTCGTAATCTCATCACACATACGTTTTTGCTCAATTTTCATGTTACTAATAGCTATTCGATCTTCTTCAATTCCTTCTACCTTCGCTGCGTAAGCCTCCTCGTGAGCTCGAAGCGATTTAAGTACATCAGCTTCATCATTGTTACGACGCTCTCGTAACATGGCAGCTTCTGTACGTTCTCTAGCAATCGACATCCTTTCTTCCTGTAATTCTGCCATAGCTTGTAATTTTTTTCCCATGAAATCTTCATATTGTTGTTCAAAAACCTTACGTTCTTGAGCAATCTCAAAAAGCATCATTTTTCGATCCTTTTCAAGTTGTTGTCGAAGTGTTTCATAGTGTGCTTGAGATTCTTGCGAACGTCGACGTTCTTCTGCCGCTTCTTTAGTAAAATTTGAAAGTGAAATATCAAACTTTGCATATAAAGAAGCAACACGTGCTCGCTCCTTTTCTAATTCTTCTTTGGTATACTTGAGTTCTTCTAGTACAGAATCCACAAGAGCCTTTTGTTCATCAATCAAATGTTCCTTTTGTCGTAGCAAAGCAAGACGCTCCTCTGTGAGCGTTACGTTCATTTTTTTAGTAGCTTCCATATCCTCATGCATCTGTGCAATGAGTTTTTCAAGCTTTGAAGCATTCCCTGTATGTGTCTCTAATAATGCTATTTGCTGCATATGAACCCTATCATTTTGTCCCAATGATTCCGCGTGTCGTTTTTCTATGGCTTCCATTTCCATACGATGCATTTCAGCTGCGTGCGCACGGTCAAACTCAAACTGTCGTCGAGCCTCTTCTAACTGTGCTTCATACTGCCGTCGTGCATCCTCTAACTGTGCCTGCTGTACAGCACGGTCCCGTTCACGTTCGTGCGTATCATCGCGCAGTCGGCGTTCCCGCTCGTGTCGCTCCGTCTCTGCGCGGGCCTCTGCGTCTGCGCGTTGTCGAGCCTCTCGATCTTCGCGCTCCCGGCGCCATCGTCCCTCGCGCTCCTCGTCGTCCTTCGCGGCCCGCGCCTCGACGGCTGCCTGCCAGCGCCTCTCGCGTTCGTCCATCGCGGTCCAAAACTGCGCCTCCCGCGTCTCCCGCTCGCGTGCCTCCTTTTCGAGGCGCTCCGCCCGCTCCGCCTCCTCGCGGCGGTCCCGTTCCTCCCGCCCCCGCCGGTAGCGCTCGTCCCGCAGCAGCCGCTCCTTCTCCGCCGCGACAACGGAGAGGTTCAGCTCGTGGAAGACATCCCGCACGTCCTGCGCGAGCCGCTGGAAGAGTCCACGCGCCGCCTCTTCTTGCTCCAGCCGGCGCAGGTGCAGGGCGTGCTCTCGCTCACGCAGACGACGACGCTGAGCCCCAGAAAGCGCCCCACGTTGGCCCTCCTCCGGGTCTTCACCCACCAGAGAACCCGCCATATTCGCATGATCATCACCACTCTTCATTCCCTTTGTTGTCGTTGCTGCTGTTGCTGCTGCTTTTGCTGCCGCCGCTGCTGCTGCTGCCTCCATTTCCTTCATCTTTTCTTCCTGAGCACGCTTTAATTCTTCCATTTGTAGACGGAGTTGTTCTTGTTGTCGTTGCATCTCCTTCTCAGATCGTTCTTGCTCTGCTTGCCAACGTCGTATTTGTTCCTCATGCTTTTCACGCTCGGCTCGAAGTTTTTCTTCCGCAATACGATCAAGTCGTTCTTGCTCCTCCTTTAGACGTTGTTGATCTTTTACAACATTAGCACTTGGGACACTTGGAACCTCGGGAATGACGTCATCTTCAAAGTCATCTGAGTACTGTATAGCATTATTATCCTCAATATCTTCATCAAAATCGTAGTCATAATCATCATCATCATCATCATCTTTTCTCTTACTGTTGTCAGTACGAGGGCTTGCTTGACTCGTTGTATCTCCACTATAATGTTTACTCATTCCTCCTCCACTATCAGATGTATGTTGCCCCTCTTTTTTTTTAGCCTTTTCTCGTTTTCGCTCCTTTTCTTTTCTTTTTTCCTTTTTTTCTTTTTTTTTCTTCTTTTTCTCTTCGAGCTCATTGCTAACGGGAGGTATGTAATCATCATCCTCATCCTCAAAATCATCAAAGGCATCGTACGAAAAACCTTTTTGTGGAGGCCGATTGAGACTTGGTGCTCCTTTTAGTGACGACATTTAAAAGGATACGTTTATGGATATATATATAATCTTGTCAATCTATTATTATTATTATTATTATTATTATTATTATTATTATTATTATTTTTGTATGGTTGTACTCTTAATCTCTCTGAATCTATCCTTTTTCTTGTTGTCACTGGGCAACCTCTCTAGAGCAATTCTATCTCTATATTTCTCTCTATCTCTTTGTATATGTATATATGTATATGGGGTTATACAACACTATACCTCTCTATTTCTTGTGTTCTCCCGTTACAAGGGAGTAATACTAAACGAAAAAAAAAAGAGTAAAAGTAAAGCAAGGAAAGAAGAAGAATACACGCAAGAAGAAGGATCAAAAAAAAAAAAATAATAACAACAACAATAACAATCGAAATAAGGAAGAATAGCATTCTTTCCTTTTTTTTTTCTCTTTCCCTTATTTATTAAGATTCTTCTTTACATTCCTTTACTCTTATAATGCGCATTTAAGAGCATTCGGTACACACGGTGTTACCAGTTCGCAATGATAGGGAGAGAAGAAGAATCAAAAAAAAAAAAAAAAAACGGTGAATCAATAAGCGACCGTAGAGAAACCTTAAGAAAACACGGGCAGACGTGTGCAAAAAAAAA